CCCCCCCCCCCCCACCCCCCCCCCCCCCCCCCCCCCCCCCCCCCCCCCCCCCCCCCCCCCCCCCCCCCCCCCCCTCCCCCCCCCCCCCCCCCCCCCCCCCCCCCCCACCCCCCCCCCCCCCCCCCCCCCCCCCCCCCCCCCCCCCCCCCCCCCCCCCCCCCCCCCCCCCCCCCCCCCCCCCCCCCCCCCCCCCCCCCCCCCCCCCCCCACCCCCCCCCCCCCCCCCCCCCCCCCCCCCCCCCCCCCCCCCCCCCCCCCCCCCCCCCCCCCCCCCCCCCCCCCCCCCCCCCCCCCCCCCCCCCCCCCCCCCCCCCCCCCCCCCCCCCCCCCCCCCCCCCCCCCCCCCCCCCCCCCCCCCCCCCCCCCCCCCCCCCCCCCCCCACCCCCCCCCCCCCCCCCCCCCCCCCCCCCCCCCCCCCCCCCCCCCCCCCGCCCCCCCCCCCCCCCCCCCCCCCCCCCCCCCCCCCCCCCCCCCCCCCCCCCCCCCCCCCCCCCCCCCCCCCCCCCCCCCGCCCCCCCCCCCCCCCCCCCCCCCCCCCCCCCCCCCCCCCCCCCCCCCCCCCCCCCCCCCCCCCCACCCCCCCCCCCCCCCCCCCCCCCCCCCCCCCCCCCCCCCCCCCCCCCCCCCCCCCCCCCCCCCCCCACCCCCCCCCCCCCCCCCCCCCCCCCCCCCCCCCCCCCCCCCCCCCCCCCCCCCCCCGCCCCCCCCCCCCCCCCCCCCCCCCCCCCCCCCCCCCCCCCCCCCCCCCCCCCCCCCCCCCCCGCCCCCCCCCCCCCCCCCCCCCCCCCCCCCCCCCCCCCCCCCCCCCCCCCCCCCCCCCACCCCCCCCCCCCCCCCCCCCCCCCCCCCCCCCCCCCCCCCCCCCCCCCCCCCCCCCCCCCCCCCCCCCCCCCCCCCCCCCCCCCCCCCCCCCCCCCCCCCCCCCGCCCCCCCCCCCCCCCCCCCCCCCCCCCCCCCCCCCCCCCCCCCCCCCCCCCCCCCCCCCCCCCCCGCCCCCCCCCCCCCCCCCCCCCCCCCCCACCCCCCCCCCCCCCCCCCCCCCCCCCCCCCCCCCCCCCCCCCCCCCCCCCCCCCCCCCCCCCCCCCCCCCCCCCCCCCCCCCCGCCCCCCCCCCCCCCCCCCCCCCCCCCCCCCCCCCCCCCCCCCCCCCCCCCCCCCCCCCCCCCCCCCCCCCGCCCCCCCCCCCCCCCCCCCCCCCCCCCCCCCCCCCCCCCCCCCCCCCCCCCCCCCCCCCCCCCCCCGCCCCCCCCCCCCCCCCCCCCCCCCCCCCCCCCCCCCCCCCCCCCCCCCCCCCCCCCCCACCCCCCCCCCCCCCCCCCCCCCCCCCCCCCCCCCCCCCCCCCCCCCCCCCCCCCCCCCCCCCACCCCCCCCCCCCCCCCCCCCCCCCCCCCCCCCCCCTCCCCCCCCCCCCCCCCCCCCCCCCCCCCCCCCCCCCCCCCCCCCCCCCCCCACCCCCCCCCCCCCCCCCCCCCCCCCCCCCCCCCCCCCCCCCCCCCCCCCCCCCCCCCCCCCCCCCCCCCCCCCCCCCCCCCCCCCCCCCCCCCCCCCCCCCCCCCCCCCCCCCCCCCCCCCCCCCCCCCCCCCCCCCCGCCCCCCCCCCCCCCCCCCCCCGCCCCCCCCCCCCCCCCCCCCCCCCCCCCCCCCCCCCCCCCCCCCCCCCCCCCCCCCCCCCCCCCCCCCCCCCCCCCCCCCCCCCCCCCCCCCCCCCCCCCCCCCCCCCCCCCCCCCCCCCCCCCCCCCCCCCCCCCCCCCCCCCCCCCCCACCCCCCCCCCCCCCCCCCACCCCCCCCCCCCCCCCCCCCCCCCCCCCCCCCCCCCCCCCCCCCCCCCCCCCCCCCCCCCCCCCCCCCCCCCCCCCCCCCCCCCCCCCCCCCCCCCCCCCCCACCCCCCCCCCCCCCCCCCCCCCCCCCCCCCCCCCCCCCCCCCCCCCCCCCCCCCCCACCCCCCCCCCCCCCCCCCCCCCCCCCCCCCCCCCCCCCCCCCCCCGCCCCCCCCCCCCCCCCCCCCCCCCCCCCCCCACCCCCCCCCCCCCCCCCCCCCCCCCCCCCCCCCCCCCCCCCCCCCCCCCCCCCCCCCCCCCCCCCCCCCCCCCCCCCCCCCCCCCCCCCCCCCCCCCCCCCCCCCCCCCCCCCCCCCCCCCCCCCCCCCCCCCCCCCCCCCCCCCCCCCCCCCCCCCCCCCCCCCCCCCCCCCCCCCCCACCCCCCCCCCCCCCCCCCCCCCCCCCCCCCCCCCCCCCCGCCCCCCCCCCCCCCCCCCCCCCCCCCCCCCCCCCCCCCCCCCCCCCGCCCCCCCCCCCCCCCCCCCCCCCCCCCCCCCCCCCCCCCCCCCCCCCCCCCCCCCCCCCCCCCCCCCCCCACCCCCCCCCCCCCCCCCCCCCCCCCCCCCCCCCCCCCCCCCCCCCCCCCCCCCCCCGCCCCCCCCCCCCCCCCCCCCCCCCCCCCCCCCCCCCCCCCCCCCCCCCCCCCCCCCCCCCCCCCCCCCCCCCCCCCCCCCCCCCCCCGCCCCCCCCCCCCCCCCCCCCCCCCCCCCCCCCCCCCCCCCCCCCCCCCCCCCCCCCCCCCGCCCCCCCCCCCCCCCCCCCCCCCCCCCCCCCCCCCCCCCCCCCCCCCCCCCCCCCCCCCCCCCCCCCCCCCCCCCCCCCCCCCCCGCCCAAGA